GTTGCTTCCCTTATATGTAATTGTAACAAAACGTAAAAACGCCCATTAAAAACTGCAAAACACAAAATGTGAAACCGCAAGTTTGCATGTATCTCCTCATGGACCCAATGAACCTCCATACCAAATTTGGTGAAGATCCATCTACAGTGGGCGAAGAGTGATAAAAAACGCAAAACACCCACAAAAACCGCAAAACTGAAAATGTTTTATGTACCGCATGGACCTAATGAACCTCCATACCAATTTTGGTGAAGATCCATTCACACCCTGCGAAGTAGTTACATGGACATACAACAGACAGTACTGTTATATTTATATATATTGTTGCGTCAGCGAGGTCACGTGACTAGTATCACGCCACCTCCTTCTAGAAATATCCTGTTCCTTCGTGAATTGTCGGGAGACTACTAGATTGGGGGTAGTCTGGTATATATAAGACGGTCACCCCATTATTGCTCTTATTGAGCATTTATTATCTTTGACGTAAGTTAACTACATTCATAGATGGCGCCAAGCCCTTATACAAATAAAAAATATCCATAACACAAAGTGTAAGAGAGGGCACACAAATGTCTCATATCTCAGAGAGTGCACTAGCACTCTCTATGGAGGAAGGCAATGAAAAAAATGGCCGCCACTGACGCAATAAAACATAAACTCAGCTGAAGTTTCTACTCCAACAACCACCATAATGCTGATATGAAGAGCCGTTTCTGAGATATACCCACTTCCTACTTTGACCCGTAAGACATTTCTGCGGCCAATGTCTGTCAATTGATTAATCACGTGAAACACTGCGGAAGGACAATAAGAGCTGGGTGTTGAAAGTGGGTAACAAAAAGGATTTCTAGCGCCACTACTTTTCTTTCTACCTCTTCCTACAAAGACACCCCAACCATCGCTCAGTGTACACCATGTTTTCAGTGTATATAGTGAGTTTTTAAAACTTTACAAAAATTTTGGTGAAGTAATAATGAATACTATAATAATATATTAAGTTATATATGAATTGTGAAAGTTAGCATTTTTGTGTTATTTATCATAGCATCCACCCCCACGTTTTTTTAAGTTCATAACCCGGACAACGGACGGGTACCTCAGCTTGCATATATATATAATCTTCAACTTAGTTTCTGTCAAATTGAAACCGCACTTATCTATTGAAGAAACTGAAGTTTCATTAAACAAATAAGGCACATCACAGTCCCAAGTATAACGAGAATAGCATGTTTGATATTAAACAAATAAGGCACATCACAGTCCCAAATATAACGAGAATAGCATGTTTGATATTAAACAAATAAGGCACATCACAGTCCCAAATATAACGAGAATAGCATGTTTGATATTAAACAAATAAGGCACATCACAGTCCCAAATATAACGAGAATAGCATGTTTGATATTAAACAAATAAGGCACATCACAGTCCCAAATATAACGAGAATAGCATGTTTGATATTAAACAAATAAGGCACATCACAGTCCCAAATATAACGAGAATAGCATGTTTGATATTCAAATCATCCTATTTTCCGACGGTAAAACCGTCAAATAATTACCAAAGAACACTTGAAACCAATGAATTTACTACAAGATAATTTCCCCTTCAATGGCAAACCCCGATACCTCCAAACAACCAAAACCCGGGTTATCTTCTATCAAACAACCAACACCCAGAATCTCTTCTGAAAAAAAAAAAAAATCAACCTAAATAAATGGGTTATGTGCTGAGCAAGTTGAAAACTGTATACTTTTGTGATATCACCGATAGATAAGTTTGCGAGTTAACTTAAAAAAAGACTATAACGCAGTCATATGAAAAACATTGATGTGAAAAGTTTTTATTATTATTAATAAAGAGCTGGGAAGAGCACCACCCGAATAACATGTTCACCGGTTTTGGTCACAAACACACATAGATATATATAGTCTATCTCCAATTGTATACATATATTTGGTGTGTTTTAGTGCACACTTTATATGTATCGTCTAATTTTACAATTGTTTAACGTTATCCTTCAAGTCTTTTCTTTCTTTTTTTTTTTCCTGTTCTTGTTTTGGCAATTTAGGCAACACGCTGAAACAGGTTGTTATCCCTCAGGCCACCCTATCTTAAGTGCAGAAGAAACGATTGAGTTCATCGCATACGTTTTGTTGTTTTGTTTGTTCTTCACTAAATTACAGTTTTATAGCAGAAGCCGCGAAATACGACTTTAAATTCTACGTCATGAATGTAGTAGTGTCTTTACATATTACAACAGGGTTAAAACAGATTCTTAAATGTGGGCTCCAACACCAATATTTTCTGGCACAGCTCCGAGAGATACCTGGCTTCGGTACGGGAACAACGCGGAAGTAACACACGCTATGGTCACGTGCCAGCCAGTACGAGGTCACAATGTGGTTCGGTGAACGTCTTCTTCATTTCTTTGTTTAAGCTCAGTTCCATACAATGTCTGAAACAACGCATAGTAGTTGGTGGTCTATACTGCAGGAATTGGAGTCTTGAAATAACTTATATATGACAGATCTTACGTCCCCTATGCTGGATTAATCTTTGGTACACGTAATTAAAAAGAATGACTCTCAGTGTGGATCCAGAAATTCACGTACGTAAATACTTGCACATGAACGATGTAAGTCCCACTGTCAGCTTCTATAGCTATTCAATTTCTTATAACCAAGTGTTTGTTTAAGACGAATAAATATAAGTTATTTTTAAGTACTCAGAAAATGAAATGCAGAGGTATGTTTTGAAGTTAGTACAGAGACTAAATAAATAAACACAAGTAAATGTATATGAATATATACGCTGTGTGTATAGCTGCGTCTGGGACGTTTTTCTTTACGTCACTTTAATGTGAAACAAAATACCAGGTGATTTTTGGAAATGGTCACGTGGACGTTTCGTGGCTTTAAAAAATTAAATGTTTTTTTTTTATACAAACTGTTATATATTGAGATTTTATCTTTTGTCCGGACACTTTGAAGGAAGCATTATAGAAAAGGGCGGATGGTGCTTGTTTACGAAATTATATTATGAAGGAAAAGGAAATGCTTATTGAATTACTGATAGTATTTGTAATTATCCACTTGGATGCGAATAAGATTTTTTTTTCACTGTTTAGGCTTACCACTAATTTATGTATGGAATAATATTTGGAACAAAGATCAGAATTACTCCGATTCTCCCCTGTTTGGCCAGCCATCTTTAAAATTAGTACGCACGTCAAATGGTTTTTACTATGTTCTTTTAAATGTTAATGTCAATATTTTTGCATTCGGGTAAAGGCAGTTGTACTGGTTTGTCATGTATGGATTGACCACTTGCGTGTGTTCGTCGGTAAATAGAATATTAGTGTTGTAGAATATGAACTTAAATAAATTCACGAGGCTTTTGTTGAACTGGACATTACATATACAATCGTAAATATATTTATATTCAGAATTTTATAGTGTATATGTCTATATCTAAATAGACGCACGAGATTTTTGTTAGAATAGGCATTATAAAATCCTATATATATATATTAATATTTCTATGAAAAAGGTGTATTGTACAATGGACCTACGTTGATGAATATTGAAATTAATACTGAATAAAAGATTATATATCAATCTATTACTAATATACAATCTATCATAAAAACCAATTCGAAGTAGTTCTAACGTTATTCAACTTTTAATCGACTCATTTATCGGAAAACCTAACTTAATGATAGAGCAAAACAGGAACGTGATAACAGGAAGCATTTATTAAATGTTTCGGGATCGTTATAATTCCATCATCAGTAATCTAGAGTTACAAAACAAACAAACAATATTTGTAATTACAACAGAAATATGTATATATATATATACATAACATTTGTTTGCTTGAAGTTAAGCACAAAGCTACACAATGGGCCATCTGTACTCTGCCCACCACGAGTATCGAAACCCGGTTTCTAGCGCTGCAAGTCCGCAGACATTCCGCTGTGTCACTGGGGAGCTAAACATAAGCAGTAAATATGAAAATGTAGCACAGTTGAATATGTTTAAATCCAGTGAAAATGCAGTAAATTTCAGAGTTTAAGGGAAAGCTCGATAAATATTTGAGTTATAAGAACTGTCTTTGATTTATTTTATAGTTCAGTTTAGTGGATGGGACAGTCTAGATGGGCCAACAGTAGCACAGCGGTTTGTCTGCGGACTTACAACGCTAGAATCCGGGTTTCGATACCAGTGGTAGGCAGAGCACAGATAGTCCATTGTGTAGCTTTTGCGCTTAATTACAAACGAACAAACCTTAAATTTTATGCTATTTCAAACCGAGAGACCATGAGTTTGGTTTGTTGTTGTTGTTGGTTATTAAGCACAAAGCTACACAAAGGACTATCTGTGCTCTGCCCACCACGAGTATCAATATCCGGTTTCTAGCAACATAAGTCCGCAGACATACCGCTGTGCTATTGGGGGGCAGTTTGGTTTGGTTTATTTTGAATTTCGCATAAAGCTACACGAGGGCTACCTGCGTTAGCCATCCTTAATTTAGCAGTGATAGACTAGAGGGAAGGCAGTTAGTCAGCATCACCCACCGCCAACTCTTGGGCTACTCTTTTACTCTCTGGGATTGGCTGTCATATAATAACGCCCCCACGGCTGAAAGGGCGAGTATCAGACCATGAAACTAGGCTTACACGAAACCGGAGAAACACCTTGCAACACAACACGACGTTTTTTTTTCTTTTGCTTAATAACTTTTTAATAACAATTTCCATGTATATTATCATACAGTTGATGATTTTCATCGTCGCTCTGGTAACGGTCTCGCTGCTGGGCGGGTTTCTTAACCGAGTTGGTTATGGCGAAGACAGGAATTCAACGAACAGTACCGAAGCGGATTACAATTGGAGCTACAGAGCCAGAATTGGAGTAGCCTATAGTTATTTTTCCTACAGGTATTACTTCCATCCATAAACAAAGGAAGTTTCCTCCTATAAGGTAAGTATTCTCTTTTATATTGAAACAGCTGTAAAGTTACAATGTCGTGATCCAAGCTGAGGGTGTATTTACAAATATTGTTAAGACGATAATAACCGCTAGGTGGGGTGAGAAGTATTCATGATTAATCTTTAAGAGGTACAGAATAATTAACAATAACGAGAAGACAATCAAAACAGAATTGTAGTAGTTTTTAAGTTATTGGTTAACAATGTTTACAGCCTTTTGAGCTGCCAAGAAAACAAAATTTTTACAAAATTTATGGGTTTTTTTTATGTCATTTTTAATCACCAATAAAATAACCTAAAATATCTTAGGCGTATCAGTGATGTTATGACTTGTGCCTAAATCATTGTTACATATTATATTTCGAACCAACTATTTAATGATTATATATATATGTGTGTGTGTGTGTTTTCCAAAATTGAACTGACTTATGATTTTTGACAATGATATAAATTTGTAAAAAGTTTCAATTTTTTTTAGGTGTGATATACGTCTGCGGAATGATGTTTTAATCGGGGAATAAATATTCAGTTATTTCTCTTTGAATTCTCAGTTTGAATCTCAATAGCATTATCGTCAATAATATCTTAGAAACGTGGGTAATTGATAGAGTGTAAGAAATTAACAGTTAGGTTTTGTTTGGTTGTTGTTAAACACAAAACTACACAATAGGCTCGACGCGGGTATTGCAATACGAAGTTTTTTAGAGTTATAAGCCCTCAGATTTACCGCCGAGCCACCTAGTGGCAACACAATGGGTAAAAACCATTGATCGAAATTAAATATTTGACGTCTTATTCCAGTTTCAATTTGTATGTAGAAAACTGATAAAAATTAATTAATTTTTTTTCTGATAGTTCGTTTTGAATTTCGCAACATGCTACTCGAGGGCTATCTGCGCTAGCCGACCCTAATTTAGCAGTGATGGACTGGTAAGCCTGTTAGAGGGTGGGGGTGGGGGAATAAAATGGTTAGTTTAAGATACAGAATGCACTTACTCGATAAATGTAGATTTTGATACTATACATCTACATTTATAATAATAATAAAAAAAAACGTCTGTGGAAAGAAACCAAACACATTTGAATTGCCAGAGATAATATGGTCGTTATATTGATTGCCTCACTCGAAAAGTTCTTTTATTTTTCTTGTTAATTTATTCTTTACGTCAATCTCTCTATTACAGCAATTTACTTTTTAAGGTAGGCTGAATGTTCACAACTATTTTAATATTTTTTTTCTTTTCATAAACAGCATTAGCCTGGTGATTAACATTCCGAACCGAAGACCCGATGACCCACAAGCGAAGATGTCGTTTATAATTTCAAATAACTTATTATCGATGACGAGAAACCAACTTTGAGACTAATAATGGTTGGAGACGGCTTGAATGGGTAA